CTCCTCTGTCCCTGGAGAAGTTCCCTACCCACGGCCCACACGGTGGCCTCAGCCCTCTCCCCTTGAGTGCAGGGCCAAGGTCAGTCAGTCCTCCAAGCCCACGGCCTGCAGGGGACCCAGGCACGCTCCCCGGGCTCCAGGACACAGGCACCTCAAGAAAGCCTGGAGGAAAAGCTGGTGCCTCGGCCTCTCTCTCCTCTTGTCCCTTTCACCACAGCGGGAGCAGCCTGGGATGGCAGAAAGAGCCCAGGATGCAGAGGCCCAGGGCCCCAGTGCCGCTCCTCTCCCGGGGGGACACTGTGACTCCATGCAATACACTTCGTCCTTTTCTAAATTTTGTATTTGGTGGCCCTGGTGATTGAACTCAGCACCTTTGTTCTGAGCTACAGCTTAGCCTTTTAAATGTCTTTTTTATTTTGAGCTGGGTCTGGCTTAGTGGCTAAATTGCTCAGGCTGGTCTTGAACTTGAGATCCTCCTGCCTCAACCTCTCAGAGTGCTGAAATTAGAAGCATGTGCCTCTGCCCCTGCTGACACTTTACCTTTTTAGTCTCAGTTTTGCCACATGTGAGGTTAGGACAGAAATGTTGCTCTAGTGGTGGCTTTGGGATCAAAATCACAGGACGAAATGTGAGGCTACCCAAGGGCTTCATACTCAGCAGAATCCTGTGAAATAGTCCTTCCCTAAGAGAAACAAATCCTGAACGCCTTGCAGAAACTACCCTCACCATAGCAACAGAAACAATATGCAGTGTGCACAAAGAATGGTTAACATTTCAATTTAAAAAAACTTTCATAACAGTGAAAGACGCATTGCCATGAATTTCCCTTGAGATCCTACCCCTCACTTTCCACACACTCATCCCAGTGTCCTCACCAATTTCTGCAGCAGCTCTGGAGTCTTCTTTCCTGAGGGTCTTAGTTGTGCTGTCTTGGCTGCCTTGATGTCCTGACTCCATTCAAAACGCTGACCTTTCATGGTCATTGTTATGGTTTGTCTGTGTGTCCCCCCAAAGCCTCATGCGGCCATGGGGTAGGCTTTTAAAGTTTGATTATGGGTGTGAGAGCTGCACCCGCCCTGGGGTGGATAGTTTGCACATGTAAGGGAGAGGAAAAGGGTGCTTGAGGCCATTCCTGCCCCGTTCCGCCCTGGTGTGTGTTTGTTGCTTTTGCTGTGTTCTGAGCCAGGAGCTGCAGCCCTCTGCCGAGTGCCACTCTGCCTTGTAATCTGCCAAGTAAGGACTGAAACCTCCACGAACTGTAAGCGAAATAAACCTTTCTTTCCTTAATTTTGGGCATCAGGTATTTTGTCCCAGCAATGAGAGAAAAGTGACCAAGACAGTCATTTGGACTTTGGGGAGGAGCCAGAAGTGACACGGAGCCAGGTCGGGTGAACGAGGTGGCTGAGGACACAGCGTCGTGTTTTCATGGGCTGCCCTTCCATTGCGTGGTGCTTGGTAGCAGCCTTCACTGTATTTTTTATTTCACCTCATGAAGGCCTCATATGCATTCAGGGAATTTTTCCAGAGACAGAGAAGCATTTCATAGCACTTTGTGAATATGAATGCAACGCTCTTGGGAGAGGCCTAGGAGACAGGGTGGTTTATGTGATTTTGTTGGAGTTGGTCATCTTTTCAGCTGATTGTCAAGGGTTTGTGTGGCTTCCTGGTGCTCTCTGACCTGTGCAGAAGAGTGACCCAGCCAGCTCGGCCTCACAGACCCAGTCGATGGTGCTATCGGATGTCAGGCCACTCAGGCTATAAGCTCAGACCCAGGACCAGGTGTCCGGCCTTGTGGGGCTGAAGTGCCCCTGGCAGGCATCCCTGAGGGCAGTGGATGCTGGGAAGCTGGCAGTGTCATCTGGGAAACAAGACCAAGGCCCATTCTGAGGCTCCACAGGGACACAGTGGGTGACAAAGCTGCTCGGAAGAGTATTGGTCCAGAGAGAGGCAGAAGACAACTCCGGGCCCAAAAGTGGGGCGCAGCAAGGACAGCCAGAGGCCCACTGTAGCAGGGATTTGTGGGGCTCCATCTGTCAGGCCTGGAGGGGGTGGACTTCATTGCAAAGGTGCCCACTGTGAGTACAGGGGTGGCGGGCATGAACGGGAGCAGCAGGCGCTGCAGGGTGCCGCAGGGCGCGGAGTGGAGGCAGCAGGGCTCCTGGCCTCTGTTTTCCCCATGGCCCTTGGTGGCCATTTTCTCATCAGGAAAATTCTGGAGAGCCAGCAGATGTGGACCTTGCTTAGTTATCACGCTGCTCCAGAGCCCAGGAGACCAGCAAGGCGGCCCTGTAGTGTAATTTGATTCCAACCCCACTCTGGACAGTAGTCACTCTGCTGTCTGGCAATCTGCGGCCCTGGGTGCACCTCCTGCTGTAAGCACTCAGCAGCCTGGCTGTCCTATCGTGGCTGTGCTCTTCTGCAGCCTTGGTCCCTGGGGCAGGCTGGGGGAGAGGCTTGGGAGGGGCAGGGCCACCTAGGGCGTTTCCAAAGTGAGAATGCGCAGCAGTCACCCTGAGCTGGCCTCTCAGAGAGTTTCTAAACCCCAGAGCAGTCTCTTGATTTGCCTTCACGACATGGATCCACGGTCAGTGGCCTTGCGTTGAGGGTTACAGTCTCGTCCTCCAGCCTGGGAAGCTACCAGAATCACCCCTGAGACTTGCACCCAACCCAGACTCTTGGGGCGGTCCTGGTCCCGGATGGTTCACAGGCAACTCTAGCATGACGCCAGGGCCGAGAGGACAGACTACTCACCCACCGTGATCACCCCGGCCTGCGGCTGCTCACGCCGGGTTCTTCCCGTCCTGGTCACACTGCTGCGCTGCACTGGCATCGGGTCCCCTCCCCGCCCGGCTGCTCTGGCGGTCTCAGTCTTTCCAGCAAGGGGGACCACTGGGGACAGCAGTCTGGCCGTGGCACCTGGGCACAGGGGCCGCCCCTCAGCTTCTTGAGCACCGAGTTCCAAGTCTCAGGATCCAAAGAGCACGGGCGTTGTTGCTCTCTGCTCTTACTGGCGCCTCTTTCTACAACTGTATCTGAAAACCCTCCTCCCGCTCGCTGCCTCTGTTGGCCACGCTGGGACAATTCTATGTGTGCAGACCTCAGATCCATGCCAGCACCCAGAAGCAGTTTGGAGCCGGTTGTTCCAGTCATGCTCAGCTCTCTGCAGAGCAGTGCCTGGGAACAGTTCCGTGAGAACGATGAGTTTTACAAATAACGACGAGATCTGGTTTCCAGAAATCACTAGGCCTGACGCACCCTCCTTAGCTTTCCTCTGTAAGATCTCATTTCATTTCTATTGTATTCTATCCATGCATTTCAGAGAATATTTCCTGAGCCTTAAATCTTGCAAAGAGCCAGGTGGGACACCCAGCATTGTCAGCAAAGGTAGCTGCTTTCTGAAGTAGTAAGGTTGAGTTAGGTTGTCAGGGTAGAGCCCTCCGCTGAGAGATATCTGGTGACCCTCCCCTTGCTCTCTCTCCCTTTCTCCCTCTCCCTCTCTCTCTCCCTCTCCCCTCATCCTCGTCTCTCTGTGTGTGGCGAAGAGGCCCTGTGAGGGTACAGTGAGAAGGTAGCTAGCTGTCCGCAAGCCGGTGAGAGAGAAACCCAGCCAGAAAGCACAGAGGTCTTTGGCTTCCAGCTCCAGGACCGGCAGAAAACACCACATTTGCTGAAGCCTCCGGGGAGTGCTGCTTGTCACGCTGCCTGAGCTGATGAAGCCACCAGCTTTTCTGAGAGTCCATTAGCAGGTTTTTAAGATCAGATGGGAACACCAGTGTAGTACCACACTGGACAATAAGACAAAGCAAGCAAAGAGGTTAGCGGGAAACACAGGACAGCAGAAGAGCAAAGTCAGGACCTCTGACGTGCAAATGGTAGGATTTATGAATATGGAGGAAGAGTAGCAATCAGGGAAATTACAGGAGAAGCCTGAGCTGACTTAATTCTTCAGATTTTAAGGACTTACTGAGTAAAAAGCAGAATAAAGCTTAATATCAAAGCCAATATGAACAAAAACAAAATAAGCCCTAGGTGCATACATGTAGCCATTCTGAGGACAAAGACAGAATCACAAGCTTTTTCACAAAAGAGTTCAAATTAGGGCCAGACTTGGCACCAAGCTGGAACCAGAGCTATATTTCTAGCTTCCAAAGGAACCCTACTGAGAAAAAAGGCCAGCAATAAAATAAATAAAATAAATACAAAGTAGAAGCTGGGCACATATTCAAGATATTAATATGTGCTGTTACAAGTACTACTATGTCAAGGCAAAAGAAAACCACTTTGAAACGTGCCAGGACCCAGAGCGCTCACTACCCAGGTACCGTCTCTAGGAGAATTGACACGAGGTCAGCCAGGTGTCCCCTCCTCAAACCAAGGATAAGTCAACGGAGCCCAGAGCAGATTCGGAACAGCAGTGGCAAGGACTCTTCTTGTGTCAACTCTGAACAGGGAAATCCACCACGCTGGCCGTGCATTTACTATTTCTTGCTTGTGACCCACTGAAACGATGCCAAATGAATTTTGAAAAGGAAAAAGAAACACAGAGGGCCAAAAAGACTGGAAAGGAAACAGCAAAGACGAGTAGACATTGGGAGAGTAAACAAGGGTGGGCGAGGTGCAGCCCGTTTCCCTTGTGGACCCTGACTCCGGGTCAGCAGAGGGCGGGCCATGTGGAGCTGGGAGACCCGGGCCAGAAGAGGTGTCCCCGCGGCCACGCGGCAGGCAAGGCCCTGGCCAGGAAGAGGCCCCAGGAGAGGACATGTGGGACTCAGAGCACAGGTGCACAGGCCAGGCAGCGGGGAGGGAAGGACAACGGACCCAGGGGCGAGGGAGAGCTTGCACCCCACAGAGGTGCCCCCTAAACTTCTTTCCCAACCCTGGCCTCGTGAGGAAAGAAGTGAAAGCAAGAACCCTGCCGAGGCCAAGCAGACGCCCTGGACAGAACAGTGCACGCGAGAGGCGCGGGGTCATGCTGTGGCACTCTTGGGCCTGTTCCTTACCTCACGGTCCTCTTGCCGTTGTCCACGCAGTCATGGAATCAGCCAGGAACACAGACGTAATGCGCCGAAGTTGGGAACCTCACCAGGTACCTGGTCAGGGGGCAGACGCAGGACGACCACGGGGACCTGGTGAGGACAGCCCAAGTTCACCATGCGTCGTTCTGATCTGAGTGAGAACCGTGAGCACCGGGTTCAGGGCTGGGGACAGAAATGTCTTCGGGAAGCAGAATTATACCCGAATGCCTGTGAAGCTCCAAAAGTGCTGATTTTATGTGGCTGCAGCTACCCAGGAGCCTCCGTCCTGCATCGGGCAAGGACGTGCTCTCTGGTTCTCCGCAGCGCCTGGCCAGGTCCGTTCTGGCAGAACCACGCGGAGGCTGCCCCGGTCACCAGCAGAGCTGGCTCCGAGAGCTGCAGCGAGACTCAGGACAGGGGAAAGGAAGAAAGCCTCGACAGAATAAAACCACATCAATATCCGTTTTAGATTTAATTCTAGGTAGAATTAGAACGTACAGAGGTACCTCAGTTCACAAACTTAATTTGCTCCAGGATTCTGGGGATGACGGCTGGGCTTGTGTGCATCGCCCAATGCAGAGTTCACGAACAGAAGCAAAATCTCGCCCAATGCTTCTGTTTGAGAACTGAGGTATAACTGTGAAATAACTTTATATCAACATATTTACAAATATTGTATTTTAAACACATTAAAAATCATTTGTGCTCAGGAGAATTTCTAGTTCAGAAAAGTGAACATTGAAAAGAAAATGGAAGCCAAACTCTGGCACACACCTGGAATCACCGCACCAAGGAGGCCGAGGCAGAAGGATCACGGCCAGCCTGGACCACACAGAGAGACCCTGTCTTAACAAATAAAATGCAAGAAGGAGGAAAATTGAGTATACTGTGTTCATAGCTGGGTCTGAAATTTGGAAAGGGTCTCGTGAGTTATGTGTACCCCTGAGACCATGTGCCATGCAAAGACCCTTTCTAAAGTCTGTGAGGCCAGTAAGTGGGATTAGAACCTTAGTAAGCACAACTCAAAAGCTTACAAAAGAATCAAGCTTTAGAAATTGTAACATTTATAAACCAAATATTAAATTTAGGAAAAATAAACCTCTTGGTGATATCTTCTGTGACCAAAAGCCATCCCTGGGGACATTGAAGACTAGCAACAATTGGCTGACACCTCGCTGCTCTGCTGGAATTGTGAGGTCCCTGCTCTCCTTCCATGGGAAACCCCAGCTGACCACAGTGCCCAGTGTGAGCAGACCCTCAGGGTCTCACGTGACACCAGCAGGGAGGAAGTCTCTGTGCCTGGCTGCCCATGGCTGCCCCCTCCTCACACGTACGGAGCCCGCTGAGCTGTGGGTGTCCATCATCGCCCACACCCTTGCCCCTGGGCTAGTCGGGCAGTGGCCCCTTAGCGACGAGATAGGAAAGCATGTCTCCCCTGCTGGGCTTTCAGGAAAGCCTGTGCAAAGGTACAGCTGCATCCCCACTGCCTTTCAGTCTCCACTTCTGACCTCCTCTTGGCTGCGGCGTTGGTGCCTCGGAGCAGGTGCCTCCCTGCGGCCTGAGCAAACACCAGCAGAGCGGAGGGCGGCTGGAGGCATGGGGCTCGGCGGCTGGGGTAAGAAGCTGCACGGAGTGAGCCCCTCTTTGACTTAATCACTGTGGACTGAGAATGAAAGCAACCTCAGTGAGAGCAAAGGAAACTTCATCTATGAAGGACTAATTAGGACAGCAACCCCGGAACACACAGAGGCCAGCAGTCCTGCAATGTGCTCTGAGGCTTTGCAAATGGTGGTTGTGTTGATCGCTTTGAACAGCAAACCCCTCTGCTGCAATTACATCACTCAGGAGCCGAGTCACCTTGGTGCTGGGGAGTGAGCTGCCTGGAGAGAAGGGGGCCAGTGGCCTCGGACCCTGGGTAGATGCGGGGAGGGGTCTGCTGGGCAGAGGGCGAGGGGCGGTGGACGAATTCAGGTCACCTCGGTGGGGTGGGTGTCTGTGTGGCCCCAGTCACAGATGCAGCTGAGGCCCATCCTCCCCGTGGGTGACACAGGCCCCAGCACCTTGAGAACCCTGACCCGCACTATTCCTATGTTACTTTTTATTCTTTGGAAGATAGCTTTCCGAGGCTTCAGCCAAGCTCAGTTTAAACTGACACAACTGTACACATGAAGACAGATGTTAAGCTAAGCTAAATAAAGGAGCCTAGAGTTCAAAGATAATCCCAGGAGCAGAAGAAAATATAAAGATAATTAAAATCATTATCCTGCGAGAGATTGAGTCATTCAACCAATATTTATAGAGTGCCTTTTAAATGCCTACTCTAAGTGAGGTAAGAGAAAAATTAAGTAAAATGTTGTATCTATAAAATAAAAGTAGAATGCTGTCTAGAAAAAAACAGCAAAAGACCTAAAGGACACACTTAAGACATTCAGCTGCACAACGATGAGCTCAGAAGGAGAGAGAACGGCGAGGACGTAGCGTGGTGAGGGACACCGCTTCCTCACCGCAGAGGCCGTGCTCAGTGAGTGGAAGCCCAGCACTTCAGAACGTCCTCAGTAAACCGGAACTCTCGAACTCTCCCACGGAGAGCAGGACCAGAAGACCAGAGTCAGAACGGGGCATGGGTATCCCTGGACAGCGGGGACCTTCAAACTCCCGAGAGGAAACACCTTGCCACCCAGGGCTCTCTCAGCCACGGGTGAGGGCGAGGGGGGACGCAGAACCACAGCCTCTGACAGAGCAGAGGGCACTTTCGGGAAAGCACGGGAGGGAAAGGAGTTAGTGCGGCCATGCCGGGGTCTCCGTGGAGAAGGGCACAAAGGGAAAGCGCCGGCTGAGGGTTCCATAGCAGGTCCGGCAGCACTCCCAGACTGGAGAGAAGCTCCAGGAGAGACCCACGGACTCTCAGATTTACCGTGCGCCTGGATTTCTGAAGGACGAGAACTGCAGGCTGCTGGCTGGTCAGACCCAGTGCCTGGGGAAGCCGGGTGATGAGAAAAGCAGATGACTGCTAAGTTTGGAAAATGAAAAGTTGTCCAGGTAAAGAATGTAATCCTCTGTCTGCCACGGCAACCAGGACGACTGAGGCAGACGTGACGACATCAGCGCTGATGGTGCTGAACGGAGTGCAGGGTGGGGCCCGGGAGTGAGGCTTGAGGTGCCGCCACAAGGCTGAGAGCTGTTTTGCAGGAAAGGAGCAGGTTCTAGAAGCGACAATGCGAGAGCACTTAGAACCACGGGGGGTGACATCAGGAGAGGAGTAAGTGAAGCCGCATGAATTGCCCCTGGGGCCGCGGCAGGGCGAGGAAGTGCTGGGTGGGCTTCCAGTTCTTCACCTAAATCTTGTGATGCACTCGCTGACCCTCTCTGCTTCCCTGTGCCGCTTGGATTCAGAGGTGGTGACCGCACACCCTGGCCGGCCCTGGCAGGTGACCTGACCGTGGGGCTTCGGGCTCCGTGACGCTCCGGCAACAGCCACCTGGGAACCTGCTCCTCCCCTCGGATTTGCAGCCTGGAGAGGCACAGGAGCAAGCCCTGCACAAGGCCGGCCCTCGAACAGCGGGGTCCCAGCCTGCATCGGAAGCCTCTCCCCTTCCTGCTTCTGGACACAGCAGCCGGTGGCTGTGGTTGCAGCCCACATGCGCCGGCTGTCCCGTGCCCCTGCACGCCCTCCCGACACTTGCCCTGTGTCCGGTCACTGGCCCATAAGCTCTGGCCCAGGCTGACAGAGCCAATCACATCAACATGACTAACAACCTCCCAACAGAAGCAGAAGAAGATATTACAAATTAAAAATAGTTACTTTCACACAAGGTATAAAAGGAAGACGGTGATATAAATGGGACATGCAACGTATAAATGCAGAGTTTTTAAATCAGAAAGTATGTGAGGAGGGAAGCGAACGGTTTAGAATCCGTACATATAGGCCTCTTCAGCCACGCCAGAAGTTGAGGGAGAAGGCAGTGATACCCGAGAAGCGTTCTCAAGGCTCCTGTGCTGTGCGCGGTGGCGGGGACTGCCCTGGTGGCCTGACTCGCCAGGGACAGAGCGGCCGCTGTTTGCCTGCATGTGTCCGTGGAAAATGCAGGTTTAAATGTGCGAATGATGGTAGGAGAGCACCACGGGCAGAAGAGAGATCGAGTAACTGGCGGACTAAGGCAGGGTAGGGAGGAGCAAGAACGTAGACAGCAGAAGCAACTGCGGCCAAGCCACTTCCTAGGAAAAATCAAGAGCAGCAAGTATAATCAACAGAAAACACGAAGAGAACTAAAATGTATACATACCATTCAATCCCAGTAGTCATAAATAGACTGAAGTCTCCTTTTAAAAAACCAAGAAACCCTAGGTTAAAAAGCCAAGCAGTAAAATTTGTGTCTAAATAAAGTAAGCAGTGAATATATTTTGATGTTGAAGTTGGCTTGAATGACCTGGTATACACCAGGCCCGGGTCAGCACCAAACACCAGGTAAGAAGATACTTTGCTACGACACGTAATTCAAGCCATGAGCCACGACTCGCAGAGAAGAACTAGACCGGTGGTGGCAAGCTCTCACACGTGTGCTATCTTTCTTTTACAACAAAAGATGTTAATGTATGTGCTGTTTTCTTGGAAGCAGTGGTTTCACTGCAGTGCTGGTGCTTTGCAATAAGCAGGCGGTTGCAGTTCGGCACTTGGTCTCTCACAGCTTGGCCATCGCTGGACTAGACTACGAGCACAGAGACAGTCCTGGAGAAAGACCTCGCGCACTGAGAAACACATGCGAAAGACACAGCAGAAACTTCCGGGTAAGTAGGAGCATTTTATAAAGCATGGTGATGATAGATTTTACTACGTGACTCACATCGCTTGGAGTACCAAAGATCTAAAGGCAAGCAGTAGAAAGGATGAGCTTCACAGCCAATCAGCTAATTTAACAGTGCTCTAGGATTTTCTTCCCACCCAGAAAAAGTGTCTAAAATTCAACAAACACTGGACCACCAAGAAGACCTGTGACTTCACAGTCCCGCTCGTACCGGGAAGGCACAGCTCCCTTCCTTCTGCCCTGGGCCTGACATCCAGGCCCATCCTGGTGGCTGTCTTCCACGTCAGGGGTGACAGGAGGACTGTCACA